AGGGCCACGGGGGGAAATGCCGACACTTCCCAGCCACAACAGGTGACAAGCACAAAAAGTACCCAGGTAAGTGGCAGGGGTCCGGATAGTCTTGGGTTCTGCAGTACTGTGACCAGCTTCCAGGTAAAAGCCTGGGACTGCACCATGTTGGGAACAGGCCTGCCACGAGACTGATGTCTCCTTTGCACTTGGGTGCTTAGAGAGGCTTTGACTGTCTGAACCTCGCCCTGAACTCATGCCTGTGATGAGCCATCCACATTAATCTTTCTGGGATGATGTGCAATGGGAGGAACCCACGTATGGAGACTGCTGGGATAGATGCTCCTGACAACCTGTCCTGCACTGGAGGGGGGCACATATTCATACCCTTGTGCTACTCCACACTCACCAGCTTGACTGTTTTTTGGACCTGGCAGTACCGTGGGGCTGTTCCAGGCACTGACGATTGTTTTGTATTTCATTTCCCAGGTGTTTGGCATCAACATCGTCAATAAGGTAAATGTTCAATGACCTCACCTCTGCTCGTGCCTTTCCCAGACCCTAACTGCAGAAGGCACAATGAGCTTCCCCAGGCAGGAGTCCCTGCTGCTGCCATACACCTCATCTGAGATGGGTGTGGGCCCAGGGCTTTCTGGGGCCTGTAGACATCTCTCAGGGATGCAAATGCAGCTGCATTTCATCCCTGATCTTTACATTCTGGACCTTGGCTCTTCCCTGTTCCTCATTCCCATCTCCTTGTTGCTCCCCCATGGAATTCAGGACCCAGAATTAAAGATGACCCCGATCCGGTCAGTCACTGAGCCATCCAATCAGCTGTGCCATCTAGGATGCTGACAACTCCCAGAGCTTCCAGTTCACTTACAAAGAGAAGTTCCTGGGGAACATGCTGGTGAGTGGGGAGGAGCCCTGGAGACCAAACTGCAAAGGACCTGGTGGGAACCTAATGGGACTGGTTTCCCTGGGAGCGGTTGTTTTGTCCCTTGGCTGTGATGGGATTATTGGAGCCTCATGGGGGGTCTGCTTGGGGCCCAGAAAGCTAGTACCACTTGAAGCTTTCTAGGCAATGCTGCATTGTGGGCTACTCTTGGAGGGCCCAGCTATAACTGGGATACAGCTCTATTTCCTCTGTATTGATGCCATTGACCTGAGCAGGATCCTGGGGCAGTGGCCAGCACACCCCTGGCTCTATTTACAGCCCACCTGGGCGGGCATCCTGGTGGGTTTGTGTGAGGAGGCTCTCTGCTTTCCACATTCATTTCCCCTGTATCATGTCTCTGTTTCTGCCTTTTAGGACTTCATGAAAGAAGAACCAATAGATTCTTTGGCTTCTGCTGTTCGCCTCAGGGCCATGCTTGCCAATGAGTACCTGAACTAGGTGATTCCTGCCCTGACCCTTGGCACTGGGATGCCAAGGTCAGAGATGAGCTTCTTCCTTAACTCTCTGTTGTTCTTCCTGTCTGAGCTGGAGCTGAGAGACACCTTCAGGGCTCAGGCCACAGGCTGCTTTCCCTGTAGCTGGGGTCAGAGGGTTTGAATGTATTTGGTCTGCTTGGAGATTTGGATTTGAAAGACTTGGTGGTGTTGGTTGTGGAACAACTAGGAGTGGTGGGGAGTGCAAGTTGCTTCTCAGCTTCCAAGTCTAGTGGGGTTTGGATTTTGGGTTCTAGGTTCAGATCATATCTTAGCACTAGACCCACTTTCCCTTGTGGCTGGCAGTCAGTGTGACTGAGGGCTTTTCTTCCTCTCTTCCTTCTGCCAGCAAGATGAAATCCTCACTGAATCTGGATGAAAACGGAAACATCTTTGATGACTGCCTCAAGTGCCTGTTGCCTCTTCCAGCTGTGCAGCAGCTGAGGGAGGAGGGTGAGATGGCTCAGGACTCTTTCCAAATACAAGTACACCTAAACAGTTGTCTTCTGGCATCACCTGCTGGGACCTGCTCCCCAGTCTGCTCTAGGTCCTGGCAGTCACCCCTGGCCTCTCTAGAATGGTGCTGGGTTTTGTGACACATTCCAGCTGGCCCTGAGCTTCCCTCTTCTATCTCCTGCTTGCAGTCACTGCACAAGTTGTCTGTGCAGGCCTTGGGTGAGCTCATGAGGGGTCTCCTTGAAGAAGACCCCACAGAGAGTTGGTTCATGGAGATGTTCCATGTGAGTAGCCAGCAGGAGCAGGCAGAGCTCTCTTCTCTGGGGACAGTGGGAAAAGGCCAAAGAAAGGTTTCCCTCAGCAGGGAAGATGAGAGGGGAGTCTCCCAAGGTGTCCTTGGGGCAATGGATAGTAATTCCCTTGCATCCTATTGATATCACTAGTAGCTGCACCATCTTGTGCCAGGGTCACTTAACAGCTCCTCTGGCTTCAGGGGAATTAAAACCTGCCTGGGATGTATCCAGATGATAAATGAATCAGATTGCTTGGAGGGATTTCAGTGGTGATGGTGATGTCTGCTGTTGAAATTGGTCCTCTGACAATAGTTTGTTCTTCTGACAACTTCTTGAGCCATGGTTCTTCTCTGACAAGGAGTGGGAGAGAGATAGGGTCTTGCAGGCCAGCTCCCAGCTGCTTGTTGCCTATTGGGAGACAGTCTATTGCAGATTAAGTATGGTCTAACTCTCTCTTGCCTTGATGTCCTCATGGCAGCTTCACCCTGAGATGCAGAAAGCTTCCCTAGCAGACAGGGTCCCACAGGAATGCATTCCTGTTTTTACCTTCCCAGGATCATAAACTTAAATATCACTCTAGCCAGACACAGGCACATGTCATTCATTTCTTTCTCCTTTTTTCTCAGTTGCAAGAGCCTTTTAAGCAATTTGGGTCCCTGCTGGGGCTGCTGGTGCCCTACACCTGCACCACTCTGGCCACCGAGTGCTGCTGAGTGCATTGCCTGATCTCTCCACCTACAAGGTGAGGGAACTCTGAGTAGGTGCAAGTGACTCTGCCTCTTTTCTCCCTCTGGTAATGTCTACTCCTCTCCTCTGTCCATTTGCTGCTAGTCTAGTGACAGCTCAAAAGTGCCACAACTGGTCCCTGGAAGGTCTCCTCCTAGGAGAGAAGAGTTGCATGGTGTGAAGAGCCTGGCCCTCTTTTGGGAAGTGTGAAAATAAGCCCCCCTAGCAAGAATGGGGAGAGGCTTGTAGCAGCTCTGGCCCCACTGAAGTCACTCAGACCTTGAACATCACCCTTGGACCACACTGCCCATGGCATTGCACATGGTTCCTCCATGGAGCCAAGGTTCTTTTTCAGGCATCATTACAGCACTTTTTCCTCCTTATTTTCATTCCAGGCCAGTCCATGATCATGGATGCAGTGGAGGAAGAGCTGAGAGGTTACCATGAGGAGCTCAAAGCCTATAGCCCTGAGGCCTGTGCTTATAGCATCCTTCCACATGGTGAAGGTCGGTGGCTCAAGAAGCTGGTGTGGAGACTCCTTCGTTGTCCATTCCTTTGCTCACACACGGTTTATCTCTTTCTTTGGAGTGTGTGGGGGGGAGGGGGGTGCATCGAGGACACTTATTGTTCATCCACTATGTGCTGCTGTTTACCCATGTCCATGGTAGAAAGAATAAGGCAGAGCAATATTAGAAAGTTTTGTAGATAGTTCTGTCCTTGCACAGAACAAATCTTTGTCAGTACAGCAACCAAGTGAGAGCCTCAGCCAGGACTTGGTCTCCTTGTGTGCCTGTTTTAACTTATCCTGGGATGCAGTTTGGCTGTATTCATGTTGTGTTGTCAAATGATGCTCTCTCCCTTGAAGACCAGTGGAACGTTCAAGCACAGGATTCACCTCTTGCACATGCTGAAGGGCAGAAGCTTATGCACAGCACAACTCTTTAATATCACTCTTGAACTTTGGCGTTCAATGCAGTTTCCCTTCTTTCTATTTGTCTCCAGGTCATTGGCAAATACTTTCCATTCAACCAGGTCCTTGACTTTGTGGGGAGCATAACATATGGCATGGTGTCTGCCAGCCCCATGTGTGCCACAGCAGCAGGACATTAGTTCATTACAGTCCTGAGGAAGCATGGAGATGCCCTTCTGAATGAGGTAAAATTGAAGCTGAGGAGGCTTTCTGCATTTGCTTTATGCTTTTTAAACACTGCTTTCATGTGGAGTGAACAGCAATCTTACTGTTGATCCCTGGACACGAAGCAAGTTCCATTTCCCCTACTAGCCAGAGATGGGGAAGAGAAGATCAGCTGCACCCAAGAGAAAGAGCACAGGAAGGCAAGTTGGGGATTCAGTGACGTAGGTTATTGATAAGAGCTTTCTGCCCTGGAAGGTTTGGAAACATAGATTCTGGGGCAAATACAGCAAGAGAGGGCAACAAAGAGTCTGAGGCACTCAGCTGTAGCTGGGCTGGGACACCATGCTTAGGCATGAGGAATGGATGCACACTTCCCTCAGTGCCACACCATGCAGGGGTCCATGGCAAGGAAGGAACTAGAGATGGTTGTGTGTCCTCAGGCATTTCCCAGCCTTGGTAGAGGCTATGTGAAATGCTTCTTTTATCCTGCTACTCTCCATGGGGTTGAGAATAGGGCGAAGGAAAGAATGGATGCCAGAGGTACTGCAGCCTCCCCCCTTTCCCTGTTCTGGATGGGACTGGATATGGGCACCTGAACCTACCACCCTGCAGGCCTGGCTGTGTGCAGACTGGGGAGGTGTAGTTAGAAATGAGAAGTGTGAACTCCAGCGTGCAGTTCCAGCAGAGCTGGTCTCACCTGGAAAAATTACAGCTACAGTTATCTTGCTCGCGGTCCCAGGGATTCTCACAGGGGTTCTGAAGTTGGTGGTGCTTCTTGGTCCTGAGCTGAGCAACCACACAGGCAAAAGGCCAAAATTAGCTTCTTAAAACCACCGCAGATATTGATATTTGTTGGGGTGTTTGTGCAAGCATGTGGGTTAATGTCAGGCAGAAATAAGTCCTGGGCGGCACATACAATTAGATTGTAGGTATGTGCACATGGGTGGGGGAATGGCTGAGGGTGCATGGGCTGGTTGGGGTCTGCGCACATGTTGCGGTGTCCACTTTCACCCCAAGTAGTGGCACAGGGGCATGCTCACTTCTTAGGATCAGCCGGAGGCAGCAGTGTCTGGACGTTGGTTCCTTAAAGCAAGGAATTTCTAAGATGGCAGCAAATTGCCAAACTGCGGGAGGGGTTGGTTTGGATTGTGCTGGCTGAATGAGAAAGGGGCCCTTGTTCTTGTTATCTTCCCTCCATGTACCAGACATCCTCGGCACCATTTTTATCTGGATGCTGACAACTTAGGAAAGGTCTGTGAGAGGCTTCCTGCTGGAAGGGGTTTCCATTCTTGCTGGCTTCCATCTAGAGGCAGTGACCAGCAGCCTCCTTAGAAAGCCTCTGCCAATGGACAGGTACTTGCCACTCCCTACCTCTTGTGCCTGGTGGCACACACACATCCTGCAGCCTAGCAAAGCCCATAGTGTTTCAAGTCAGCTGCAGATCCTTTGGGATGAGCTGGTAAGAGTCAATGTCCTAGTGCATTTGCTTAGGAAATGCTAGGCTTGTGCCTAATAGCACTGGCAGATGACATCACTGTGCCCCAACCCTGTCCTAGATCAGGAGAGCCCTTGGCCTTTGCTTCAATGACCTATTTCTTCATGACACCACAGGAGTATCCACAGCTCATATCTAATTTGTGTTAAATTGCAGTGACGCTTCTGAGCTCTGGAGGACCTTGGGTGGCGATGATTTCTTCACTCTCCACATACTACGCTTGCTCATGAGCAAGATTCAGTGTCCAGCCAGCACAGACAGGAGCTCAGCTGAGGACATGGTGGCCCTTGGACCTCTAGCAGTAAGTGACAGCACAGGCCCAGCTCTATCGGTTCCCCCTTGGGCGCTAGAATCCTGGTTCTTGAGAGCTTGAGATAGGACGCACAGCTGTGGGGCAAGCTTTTCTCCCCTGCTCTCCTGTCCCCCTGGTCACCCCCACTCCTCCATCAGCAGCAGAAACACAACAGCTTCATGTTACATGGCTAACTGACTCCATGAGACTTTGGAACTAGAAACTCCTGTAACCGAGAGGTTCCTTCTGCTTTGCAGCTCTCCATTCAGGCTGCTGGTGCCCCTGCACTTCCCAGGCAGAAGTGTAGAAATGTGACTGGGAAGGGATGTGACTGGGAGTGCAGGGATGTGACTGGGAAGGGAGCCAAGTGCTAAGGGAGCTGCTGCCAGAGCTGGTCTGTGCTCTTCTGGATGTGAGGAAAAGACCTTTAGGCTTGGAGTTATGGATTTACAGGTGTCTTCCTCAGGCTAACTCTGGTCTTCTCTATCCTTTCAGGCAACATGTGCATCTTTGGAGATGCTCACTACCATTTACTCCAGCCCCAGCCCAGTGCTGAGGGAGCTGGTCCCAGAGATCCTCTGTGCTCTTTTGGAGCAAGCTGGCCGCACTGTAGGGCAGGACATGTCAATTGCCACAAGGAGCATCCAGTGGAGGCAGCTGCAAGAAGTGGGCAACCCTTGCAGGTAAGGAGTAGGCTGCACCTGCTTTCACAGGTTTGGCTTCACTTCAGGCTCGCTGCCAGCAGGGTGTTCTTGTCCTTGCCAAGGGCTGTGCTGAGCTGTCTTGGTCCTAGCAGCTGAAAGAAGTTGTGGGGGGGGGGTCTCTGTGAAGGGCAGAGTTTGAAATGTTAAGGCTGGGAGGGCCTTTTTGCTCCTCCAATCTGAGCTCCTCTGGGACAGGCCAGGCAGTTTCAGCCCAGGGGCGTCACAATCTCCATTAGTGGCCAGCACACACTGGGCTCCCAGTGCTTGGGACCTGGGCATGTGATTTCTGCATGTTCCCATGCTCTACACGTGGCCTTTGTCCTTGTAGGGAGAGAAAAATGGTTGCCCAATTCTTTCCATAGTGCATTTGGGAGAGCCTCCATGCATCCCGTCTGGCTTCCAGCACTGATTTGTACAAGGCCCTGCCCTCCCTGTCCCTGTCAGGGGATTGCAAGACATGAGAAAGAATGGCAACATTTGTCTGATCTGAGCTGCCTGCCTTGCGCAGCAAGTGTCTGAGTAATGGACCTCCCGAGTGACAGGGAGTTTTGGTTCTTCTCTGGCCACAGCATCTCATTACAGTCTGTAAATCTGGGCCTACTCTCTTCCCAGGCTTTCTATGGAGACCCTGGCCTGTGCCATATCTAAGGCCCTTGGGGAGAGAGTGGCTGCAGCCCTCTGTGGAGAGGGAACTTGGCCACTCCTTGAGAGCCCCCAGACACACCATGAGGGGGTGTGCCAGCTGGCCAGGTAAGAGAGGCAGGCTGGATTGTATCTGTGCTCTAGGCAGTGGGATGAGTGGTGGAGGGGGAACTTTCCGTGCTGCACCTGCAGGGTTGTGGGGTGCTGGAGACGTGGAGCTTGTGCTCCAAGACATGAGACCTGCCACTTCAGAGCAACTGAGAGTTGGCAGTGCCCAGCTGGTCCCCGAACTAGTGGCTTTCTCTTGCAGGGCTCTGCTTCCATTGGGCATAATAACATCCAAATTCATAGGGTAGGTCCTGCAGCGGGTCTGTTCCACAACTGAAAAGCTGTACATTACTGGTATGGCCTTCATCAGCCAGGTAAGGACCCATAGAGAATGAGCAGTTTGATGAAAAGGCAGCTGTTTAATGTGCTCTTTCCCTGGGGAATCCCCTGGTCTCCTTCCTAGAAGGGAGGACCACTGGAGGCAGTTGGAAGTTTTTTTTTCCTGTCCTTGCCTCTGCTTTTCCATTTCTGCCATATGAGAAGGAGAGGCAGACAAGGATTTCCTTACTGACCTGCCCCTACTGAGCCCTTGTCCTAGCCAGCAGCTCTGAGTTTGGTCCTAACTAGTGGAACTTCTATATCCACCCAGCGTCCCAGGAAGACACGGCTCTAAAGCAAGCAATGTCCCTATTTACTCGCATCGGCATCATCTCTCTCGCTTAGACTAAGCCCCTGTCTTCATGATTTGCCTGGCTCTAAACATACAGGCCTCCCCATGTCCAACCGGAAAGCGCCACATGCTGAGGCTCTTCCTTGCGGTATTCTGTGGGATTCTGCTGTGGCACAGGTTACTTTTCTGCTGCAGGGCTGGGCTGTTGGCAATGACTGTGCTGGATCTCACAGACACATTGGTTTCTTTTAGCGTATGTGTGATCCCATCATCGAAGAGCAGAAGCTCCTGAAGCCAGTGCTTTATTTTCTTCAACAGCGAGCCAGGGATTCTAATAACCTGGTATGGCAGCTAGAGGACTGGGCAATATAGTTTATGGTGCCCCTGAGCAGATAAGGTTGAAATCCCTCTGCATACTTTAGAAAGCAGCTTGACTATAGAGACCAAACAATGAGGCAGGGCCGAAAGGGTGCTCAAGAACCTGAAGTGTATCCAGTTTTGCTGTCTCACCCCTTGTGGTGTCTCTGAAGACAGTTGGGTGTGACAAGTATAATTTTGGTGTAGAAGTGGATACCTTGTGTCTCACAGGCATACGGGAATGTAACCATGGGGGCTTGGTCAGATGAAATCCTGAATGCTCTGTGAATGGGAAAGCCCAGAGGTGAGGAGCATAAACACTGATCAGTGTGTCATGTCTTCTGTTTGTACAGCTGAAAAAACACCAGAATGCCATCCTAGAGACCTTGTTCCTGGCATCGTTTGTGCCTACCAGTGCTCAGATCATGCAGGAGGGCATGCACACTGTGACAGCTAAAATTATTTCTACCTGATAAAGGTGCTTGCTGAAGGCTCTATGAAGATTAGACCAAGTGTTTTTCAGTGGCTTGAATATATTCTCTGAAACTGGTGCCTCTCTAGACAGACTCCCTTACCCTGTGCCATGCTCAGAGACAGATTCTGGGGTGGGATGCCATGCAATTACACATTAGAAGACAGCCTTTGCTCTGAAGAGCCTTTGTTTTCCATTGGGCTTTTTGCCCATACTGTGGAAAGGAGGTTTGCCTTGTAGACAGAGCACAGGGCCCAGCAGTCAGGACTCCTGGGTGTTCTTGGTTCACAAGTTACTGGGCTCAGTACAGTTAATTACTGCATACTGGGTGACCTTTGCTGGCTTGTGCTAGGCAGGAGGCCAGAGCAGCTAATCCCAATCAAGACTTCTACCCTTAAAATCTATTAACAGCAAATCCACAGACCCAGGATTTCTTGCCCTTTCCCCCTTTGGTGCCAAGTTCTAAGTGGTATTCCACATGAAAGCTGTGCTTTAAATGCCATTGGTTCCATTATGAAGATTTCATTTAAAACATCAGCTAAAATTTGATATCTTCCATGTGTCAGGTATCCAGATTCTAGCTGTATTGCTTCAGAGGAAAAAGCAATCAGGACTCGTGGTAGAGGTGATATCTTTTATTAGACCAACCAGACTTTTGAAAAAAAATGTCTTTAATTGTCTTTATCCAATGGCAAGCTTTGCGAAGATACTGAATTTTAGCTGGTTTTAAATAAAATCTTCATAATTTTACAAGTAGGAAGCAAGTTTGACCACCTGAAACCTGAGATCCTGCTCCTGCCTTTGTTTGAGGTAATTTGCATCATCACAGAGCCTCACCACAGGGCTCAGAGACACCTCACCACGTAAGAAATGCCTGCCCAGGAGAGCAATCCATCTATTTACTCCTCTGTGAAATATGAAACACCGTAACCAGAAGGAAATATGACTACATCCTGCTTACCACCAAACAACTGTTAGGTAAACAGACTATTCCAACTTTTCTCTGAGCCTAATCTGCATCTAAAATGATCTGTTCCAAACAGGAGATATTACCACACCTTCAACTCTTCTATGAAATATGAACTTTCATTTCTACCCAGGAGAACTTGTACAATCTTTTCTCTGAAGCCTGAAGAAGGGTGTTTGTGCCTGAAAGCTGGCAAATAAAGAATTGTTTTTTGCAAAAGTCTAGTTGGTCTAATAAAAGATATCACCTCTACTAGGAGTCCTGATTGCTCTTTCCTCTAGACCAATACAGCTACAACCTGGACACCTGACAGTGTGAATTAGGCACACTTTTACAGAACCCCACTACTCATATCTCTGCACTGTAAGACACCCAAATACTTTAAAACAGATCTGGCTTTGTCTACTTGAAGAAAAACCTATTGTGAGAGGGCAGGAATGGGGGTAGAAATAAGCAAAGCCTTTCAGATGATGATAGAATTACTGAGAACTAGTGCAATCACCTTCATCCACGTACTAATAAGAGTCAGGACCAGTGACAAGCAGCTGTCAACATAGGATGGTAACTGGAATTCTGAAGGGAGGAAAGATGGAAACAATTTTGCAGGTGTCAGCCTTGGGAACACCTTAACAGAGGCCCTATCTGATGAGACACACACTGTGCTGATGAATAGATGAGTCTTGTTTAATGAACCTGATGGCACAGTGACATAAGAGAGATGCAGAAGATTTTCAGTGCATCGGGGGCACTGCCTGGTCATGGGCCACAGCTTGCACCTTACCCTTGGAAACTTGTGGTTGTCATGTGAGGCCACAGATGACAGGAACAGGGCAAGTGTAGTGCTCATCTTCAAGAAGGGGAAGAAGGAGGATCTGGGGAATTACTGACCAGTCAGTTGGACCTTGATACCAGGAAAGATCATATAGCAGGTCCTCAAAGAATCTATTTCTAAGCACCTGGAGGAGAACAAGGTGATCAAGAACAGCCAGTGTGGATTCATCATTAGTAAGCTAAGGAAATACAGACTAGATAGAAGTGCTGTAAGCTGAGTACACAACTGGTTGGATCATCATACTCAGCAATGGCTCAAGGTCCAGCTGGGAGGAAGTATCAACAGGGATTCCCCTGGGGCCTGTAAGATCTGAGGGTTACATTAGTTCATAATCTGAATATGAGCCAACAATGTGCTCTTGTTGCAAAAAAACCAAAAGCATACTGGGTTGTATGAACAGGAATGTCCTTGCAAGTCAAGGGAAACGATTCTCCTACTCTATTCACCACTGGTGATACCTCACCTAGTGTCCTACCTCCAGTTTTGGGCCCTGCAATTCAAGAAAATGTGGGCAAATTAGGAAGAGTTCAGCAGAGAGCAACAAAAATTATTAGAAGTCTGAGAAATATGACTTACTAGGAAAGACTGAAAGAACTAGGACTGTTTAGTCTGGAGAAGAGAAGACTGAGGGGGAATTTGATAATGGTCTTCTAATACCTAAAGGATGGTTATAAAGATGATGGATGTAGACTATTCTCTGTGGCTGCAGGAGAAAGGGCTAGGAGAAATCGTCCCCTTAAAATTCACATGCAGTGACGGGGAAGCTCCCACACACAGTCTATGCCTGTGAACTTTCCCAGGGTTAGAGTCTTTCAGGTTAGATAGAGACTACACACCAATGACAACTCTGGTGATTTCATAGTTTCACAGTTTCTAGGGTCAGAAGGGACTTGAACAGATCATCAAGTCTGACCCCCTCCTCATAATACTCCAGCCAGATATCTATCCAACCTCCTCTTAAAGACCCCCAAGGTAGGGGAGAGCACCACCTCCCTTGGGAGCCCATTCTAGAGCCTGGCAGACCTACCTGTAAAGTAATGCCTCCTGATATCAAGCCTGAACCTGCTGTCAATCAATTTGTGGCCATTATTCCTTGTTATCCCAGGTGGTGCCCAGGGGAACAGAGCCTCCCCTGTTTTCCACTGGTCTCCGGTGGTGAGTTTATAGATGGCCACCAGATCCCCTCTCAGTCTTCTCTTGTGGAGGCGGAATAGATTCAGTCCCTTTAGTTTGTCTTCGTAGGGCCTGGCCTGCTGCCCCCGGACCATACAAGTAGCCCTCCTCTCGTTCCTCTCAAGTTTAGCCACATCCCTCTTGAAGTGCGGCACCCAGAACTGGATGCAGTACTCCAACTGTGGCCTGACCAGCTCCGCATAGAGGGGGAGAATCATCTCCCTGGACCTGCTTGTGATGCACCTGTGGATGCATGACAAGGTGCAGTTAGCCTTATTGACCACTTCCTTGCATTGGTGGCTCACGTCCATCCTGGAGTCAACAATGACTCCAAGATCCCTTTCAGCCACCCTGTTGATGAGAAGGGTGTTCCCCGGACTATAGGTGTGTTGCAGGTTCCTTCTCCCTAGCACCTTGCACTTGGCTGCATTGAATTCCATCCTATTCTCATCCACCCACCTCTGTAACCTGTCTAGATCTAGTTGGATTCTGTCCCTTTCATTGCAAGTCTTGTGATATTTGGTGATTTTTCTTAAAGCTCCTGTTTCCGGCATCATATGATTAGGTGAATATCTCAGTTTTCATTGGAAAGCACAGGGCTGAGTGGAGGTAGCACAGTGCCTGATCCAGCCTGCGCTACTCATCGGGCCCACAACACCAAAAGGTTGAGCACCACTGATGTAGAAGGCAGAGTGGGGAAGCACCTTGGAGACTAACCATTAATATAGAGGCCAAGACACACAGTTGTAGTTCAGTTTCCAAGCAGGAGGGGGAAGGGCTCAGCATGCACATTAAGTAGAACAGTGCCAGAGCTTATGAATTGGGTGACTTCTGGTGACTTCTGGTTTAAGGAAGGTGCTTCTTGAATAACAAGGAGTATTGTTTGCAGTGGTTATACAATTCCACACATGCGCACACACAGGTTTTACCTTTTAAAATATAAGAGAGCAGAGTCACCAGACCAGAAAAACATGGCTCAGAAGTGGGAAAGGCCAGTGAGGGTTTCTAGCCAGGATGTTCCTTATCAGGGAGCACACTGCTGGCTCTAGTTCGGAAACCTGAAGATCTGTTGGCTCCCCAGTTCTTGTACCTTTGCACACTGAGGTGTGTGTACACAGTGGGCAAAAGGCATTCGGGAGCTTGATTGCTTCCTCTCACCCACATATGTGCATGTGCGCACACACACACACCTGCACACACACACACATTGAGGTGTGCAAATGCACGCTTGGCATGGTGATCTCAAATCCAAATGCAGGCAGGCCAGTTGCTCTGCAGCCTGTAACAGGGCAACCAGCATAGACCAGCATCAAAGCAGCAAAAAGTTTGCATCCTTCAGAAATGCTTCACCTGGGTTGGGGGACCACTGCCTGAACTCATGTTCTAGCTTGCAGAGCTTTTCATGAAGAAGGCTCTGATCTTTTGGACCATATGTTCCCCTGTTGGGTATGTACTGGCTTTTGCTTCTTTTCAACCAGAGGCTTTGCTAATCTTGACTGTTCTGCTGTAGCAGGATTAGCCGAGCAAGGCTGGGTCCTGCAGAACAGGTGGCAGTCACTTGACTTGCTTGGAATGAGACCCAGATAGTTAGCTCCTCTCCAGACTGGTTTTTAAGCTCTCTGCAGACAGGATTATTTGCTAGCTAGTTATTTCCGCAGGGCCCCTGGAGTGTCCTGTGCTGTACGGATTGATAAAGAGGTGCCTTGATCCCTGCCTTCTGGAGCTCCTGTGGGCTTGATCTCAAGCCTGTCAAAGTCAATGAAAGACAGCCACTGACTTCATTAGGCTTTAGATCAAAGCCCAGGAAAGCAGGGAAATGCAGGGAAAGGGGCAAGAGAAAACACGAGGGGTGGGAGGGGCTTTCAGACTGGGGAACATTTGGGACTGCATCCTGCCCACATGAGCTCCTCTAATACCCAAGTTCCCACGGCTTTGTGATACAGCAGTGCCCTAGCCAGGATCATTGTGCTAGACCTGCTGACACTCTTGGCATGGGG